ACGTCCGAGCCATATTCTCCTATTTGCGTGGCAAAAGCAAGTTTACTATTTTATCGGCCATTTATTGACGCTAAAACTTCCTCTTTTGCTTCAACATGTGAGGACGCGGGCCGATACTTGAGATTTACGTTGGAACATGGGGTTCTGTCAGTGACATCACGGCCAGGAGCCCCGCAAGGCTTCTTCTCTCTTAATATTTCATTGAACAGGGATGAGATTGAAGATGAAGCGACTCGTATTCTCGGTATTGGAGGTGCAAATGCGAAGCGCGATAGTCCTGGTGATATCTGGGTTGGAGTAGCAACTTCGATGATCTTGCATGACAAGGTGATAACCATGCAAGTTTCGCTGTCCTTGAACTGGAACGAGACACCGTCACCATACTATCCGTTACCAAACTCAAACGATCGAAAATTAACGAGACGGCTTATCGACTCTATTTTCCGCGACACCGAGAGCGAAGACCTAGCGGCATGGTCGCCTATGGACTTTTATGAGGCGGCGCATGTACCACCGAAGGATGACAAAGTCGCTCTTAATATTGACATTCCCGGTTTAGAGTCAGAATTATTTCCGTACCAGAAGAGAACGTTGCAATGGCTTTTGGCAAGAGAGGGTGTGCGGTGGTCCCAGGCAAAAGCTACGCTAGAATCGACCGCGATGGATCATCATTCAATCTCAATCGACAGCTTCCGCACCGTTCAGGATGCTGATGGAAGAACTGCATTTTTGAGTGATGTGTTTCAAACCATCACTAGAGATAAAAGCTTGTACAAACGAGCAGACAGGTTTGTAAAAGGCGGTATATTGGCAGAGGAGATGGGACTTGGCAAGACCCTTGAGATCTTGGGACTCATCCTCCTTCATGGTCGTGTAGAGCACCAAGCTCAGCAAAACGGACTTAGGATGGACGGTCTTGCCACTACTGGAGCTACATTGATTGTAACTCCCGAATCATTGCGGCAACAATGGATTTCAGAGATTGCACGGCATGCCCCGAGTCTGCGGGTAAAGCACTATCAAGGGTGCAAGAAAATGAAGGATGCAGACGAGGAAACAATTATCGAGGAACTCTGTGGGTACGATGTTGTTATTACAACATATTCCGTGCTCTCCGCCGAACTGCATTTTGCATTTGAACCTCCTCAGCGACCTCGTAGATACGAGAGAGCATACCCTCGAACAACATCCCCTCTCGTCAAGATAGCGTGGTGGCGGCTGTGCCTCGATGAGGCCCAGATGATTGAAAACGGATACAGCCAAGCAGCCTCCGTTGCGCGCGTCTTGCCTCGCATTAATGCATGGGGCATTACCGGCACGCCAGTCAAGGATGATGTCAAGGATCTCTTCGGCCTCTTGCTCTTTTTAAGGTATGAGCCATATTGCTCCGCATCACAGGTCTGGCAAGCACTTATTACGAGCCATAAACCTTTGTTTCAACAAATATTCAACTCAATTTCATTGCGACACACCAAGAGTATGGTGCGAGACGAGATCTTACTTCCTGCTCAAAAAAGATTTGTTATTAGCATGCCTTTTACGGCCGTTGAAGAACAGCACTATCAATCCTTATTTAAAGAAATGGTCGATGAATGCGGCCTCGAGACTGATGGGTCTCCGAAGGAACATGATTGGGACCCTGAAGAGCACTACGACAACATGAGAGTTTGGCTGAATCGATTGCGCCAGACTACCTTGCATCCCGAGGTTGGCGTATACAATCGCCGCCTGCTGGGCTATAACAAGGCGCGCCCAATGAGAACTGTTGATGAAGTGCTGACCGCTATGCTGGAACAAAGCGAAAATACTATTAGGGCAGAGGAGAGAGCACATTTATTGAGTCGTCTGGCTCAGGGCCAGATGTATGAAAACAGCCCGCGCGTGAAGGAAGCATTGGTGCTGTGGGAAGATGTAAGACAAGAAACTGAAAGACTCGTCTCAGATGCCAGGACAAAACTCAAGGAAACAATCCGAGAGCATGGCGGAGAAGAGGCAGTAAAGAAAGCTGAAGAAGAGAACCATGCTCGCGATTTGTCGGACACGGACGACGAACAAGACGAGCTGGGAACCAAGGGTAAAATTGGAGAGTGTCGCCGACGACTTCGTTCAGCCTTGGAACTGCATCATAAAGCTGTCTTCTTTTGCGCCAATGCCTACTTTCAAATTAAAGACAATAAAGACTTGACGGAACCAGACTCTGAAGAGTTTCAGCGGCTGAAAAAGCTCGAAGATGACGGGTATAATGCCGCAAAAGCATTGAGAAGAGAGATCTTGGGGGAGAGTAACCGCAAAGCGACGCGGCTTATGAATAGGATTTCCCGCAAAGCGGCCTCTCGAACCTTTGTGGATATACCTGAGCTTTCTACAATTCCTGAAAAGGGAATTGAAAGTAGCCGAATTGTCGATGACCTCGAGATACTATACGACGAATTGAACAAGCAGGCAGATGTCATTGATGGGTGGCGTGAAGAAGTTGTTCAATTACTTCTAAAACCATTAGTTGACGAAGATGATGACGTCGAAACCACTGGAGAAGAGCTTGGCGACTCTGCCAAGTTCCAGGACTTGCTTATGGTCTATGTCACCACCTTGCGAGCTGCTATTGCCGATCGTCAAGACGCAATCTCTGGTCAGACAAATGAATTGGCCAAGCATGAAACCGAAACTTCTCTCCGGCTGGCAAGGGCTGGGGAGGGTCCAGCGCCCGTCAAAATGGTCCAAATGCTTCGACTGAGAGCAGAAATTAAGCCCAAGGTGGCCCATTCATCCATGAGAGGTGCCGTAAGTGAGTTTCGTGGCCTGCAATCCCGGTTGTCGCGCGACACGGCTACTACAAGCCGTGAGGCCGTGGAGGCCAAGATTGCTTCGGACCAGCTGAAGGCAACTCAAACCGAGATTAACAATCAAAACAAAGCGGCAATGGCACTGGAATCGGAAATTGAAAGCTTCAAAGTGGCCATGAATGCGAGACTGGAGTACTATCGTCAACTGCAGGCAGTTTCGGACGCCGTGCTCCCACTGGAAGGGCCCAAAGACGACAACGCGATCAACAAGTTGAAGCAGGCAGCAGATGAGCTGCGTCGAAAACTTTCTTCGGCCGAAGCGAAACATAGGTACCGTAAGTCACAAAACCAACCCTCTGCCTACGATCCAGGTGTTTGGTTCTAACTTGATAATAGTTTTGAACCTGAAAGAAGCGGGTGCCAAGTCAAACGAGCCCCGAATGTGCGTCATCTGCCAGATGCCCTTTGTCACCGGCGTCCTGACCGTCTGTGGCCATCAATTCTGTAAGGAATGCATGACGATGTGGTTCAAAGCCCATCACAACTGTCCCGTGTGCAAAAGGGGTCTGAAGCCATCCAACCTGCACGACATTGCCATTAAACCGCAGCAGTTGCAGGTTCGCAGCGAAGGGGCCAATGATGAGGGAGGCTCGTTGCCGCGACGGGTGAGTGGCAATTCGCCAAGAAAGACGGCAATCTACTCCGAGTTCAATGCGGACAAATTGGCCGAGATTAAAAACGTGGAACTCGACGGGCCGTCATTCACAACGAAGGTTGACACCCTTGTGAGGCACCTCCTCTGGCTGAGAGAGTCTGACCCCGGTGCCAAGTCGATTGTGTTTTCCCAGTATGTCTCCAATCGTCCTCTCTGCCTTGACGCAAACCCCGTCCATTCCATTCCCCCATGCTAATACGTGGCAAACCTGCAGATATCGCGACTTTCTGCACATCTTGCGCAACGCATTCAGACGGTTCCGCATCGGCCACGCCTCCATCGACGACGTCAACGGCATTGCTAATTTCAAGGAAGACCCCGCCACTGAAGTATTCCTGCTTCATGCGCGCGCCCACTCCAGCGGCCTCAACCTCGTCAACGCGAGCCACGTCTTCCTGTGCGAACCTCTGCTCAACACGGCGCTCGAGCTGCAGGCCATTGCGCGGGTAGACCGTATCGGGCAGCAGCACGAGACCACCGTGTGGCTGTATCTGGTGTCCGGCACCGTCGAGGAGAGCATTTACAATCTCTCGGTGCAGAGACGCATGGAGCACATGGGCCGCCGGGCCGCCGGAGCAAAAGGCACGGCCACGCCGGAGCTGCTGGATGCGAACATCGAGGCGGCCAACACGCTCGAGCTGGAGCACGCGGCGCTGTCCAAGCTCATGAGCAAGGACAAGTCGGCGGGCGAGGTGGTGGACAAGGGCGACTTGTGGGCGTGCCTCTTTGGGCATATTGGTGCGGAGGACGGCGGCGGCAGCGAGACGGACCGCAGGCTGCAGGATGAGGCTATCATGAGCTATTTGGCTGGAGAGGCGGCGGAGCGGAGACGCCACGAGTGAGGAATCTCTCGTGAAGACATGGTGCGGTATGCTTGCACGTTGCTATGATGAACGGTATATTACGACAGGTGTACAGTCTGCGGCAGCATACATTTACCCACTGAGAAGCATACAAATAAACCGTCAATTATTACAATATGGACCGCGATGGCCAGGTACCTGATCTGGTCAAATACTCTTTTCCCTCCCGCTGTAGCTTGTTATCTACGGCGTACACGTACAACACTGGCAGACTACGCTTAGCCGGGCCTTTTGCTAGTGGCAATGAGGAGACGCTTGGCACATGAAAGAAAAGACGGGACATGGCTCTCGTTCAAGCTTGTAGTATGACTAGGATTTTAATTTTTTTGGAGCAATAGTGAAATCCTGACGCTGTCGTACGTAATACTGCGCGATAGCTTTTATTTATCCGGTTCCCCTGGCCGACTCATACCCCATCCCCCCTTTTCCCATCTCCTAGTCAGACGGAAATCTAGAACGCCACGGTTTCGACGCCTTCCCGTCTGCACGCAGATGATTTCGTTTTACAGGTTGCTTATTCTCATACAGTCATCACACAAGGTGACAGTTTGTGTTGCCCACACAGAGCTCGTCTTACAGGCCCTATTGTTTTGGGAGAAGAAAAAACACAGGGCTCTCTTCTTTAGCAAGAAGAAATGTCTACTCGACAACCTTCTTCTTGGGGGTAGACTTGACGCGCTTCGCGACGGGGCGGTTGATGTGGTGGTCAGGGATCCAGCTCTCGTCGTAGGTCTTGCTGCCGGTGGTGGCGGCAGCGGACTCGGAGCCGGAGAGGGCGGCGTCGGCGTCGGCGGACTTCTTGGCCTTTTTGGGGCCGCTGGATGAGGACTTGGAGCGCTTGGCTTGCGGGAAGAGGGCTTCGATCCAGGTCTTGTAGACAAAGTAGAGGGTTCCGCCGAACGCGGCGGACAGGACGAGGTAGAGGAAGATGCTGGGCGGGATGGTTAGTCAAATCTTTTGAATGGATGCTCGAGCATGGGCAGGGAGGAGACTGTAGGTACATTTGCGGGTCGAGGAAGCTGGTGGGAGCTTCGACAATGGCGGCGAGGCCATCGTGGGCCTGGACCTGGTACATGTCGCCGTTGGCGTTGGCGATGACGGCGGCGATCTGCAGCTTCACATCCTGGGGCTGCATGTCAAGAGCGAAGGAGTAGGTGAAGCTCTTGGTCTCGCCGGCCTCGATGGCGTGGTTGTACTGCACGACCGTCAGGTTGCGAATGATGCCCTGGTAGGCGGGGGTTCCCTCGGGGAGAGTCTTTGCGGTGGCCAGGACGCCGGCGAGGACGGAGATTTGGATGGGCGCATCTTCCTTGTTGGTGATTTCGACGAGGGCCTTGGTCGGCCGGCCGTTGATGAGGCGCACGCCGAGGATGTCGGAGTCGGGGAAGGTGGTCTTGACGACGGCAGCGAGATCAGGCGTCTTGGGGGAAGCACTGTCGTCGGCGGCGGGCGCAGCGGCGTCGGCCTGTGAGGGTCGTCGAGTTAGGCGTGAGTGTTTTGTCCTTGAATTGATAATGAGTGGTGATTTTCATACCGCAGCCGCGCCAAAGATGTGCAGAGCAAACACGGAGAGCAGCGAGGAGAACAACATGGCGGACAGGTGGGCCAGACGCAAGCAAGGAGCAGAAAGAGACCAAAGAGCGATGGGGGCAAGAAGGGATGAGTCGGGGGGATAAAGAATCACGATTCTGGCGACTCAATTGCGGGATGGGGAGGCAAGGTCGAAACAAGGAGATGGAGGTCGAGGTCGAAGTTGACGCTGAGTGAGGTTGGCGAGGCCGACTTGTCATTGGTGGAGGGAGCGCACGCGAGATGCAAGTGGGGCGAGGTGTCTGGGCAAGGTCTGGCAAGGTGGCCTCTGTAGACTGTTGGTCTGTCCTTTTCGCTCCGCTTGAAGTGGGACGTTGATTAACTAGGACAGGATAGCTGGCCTTGACTCAGCCTCTGCATCGGCCCTCAGGTTTCGAAGCATCAATTGTTTGGTGCCGCTTCGCACAGGAAATATCGCCTTCAGAGACAGACTCGGCGGAATGCCCAGTATAGGCGGCAAGAACACCGGGCGGACTGTCCAGACAAGATGCACGTCGATGAGCATCAGGCACGAACTGGTGGGCTACAGTGCATGTAGCATGATGGCTCATCGCTCGATTTCAACATCTTTCATCACCTGATGGCCTATGGTGGCCAAGTCGTCAGGCACTGTGAGTGACGGCGTGCTATGGTTCCCAAGAGATGAACCAAGTCACGGGTTTATGCTGGCAGATACACTGGGCCATTCGGTGTCTGGCCAGGAATATCACGTCAGTGAGAGGGCAAGCGTGGTCCTAGCTGTGTCGAGAGCTGACAAGAAACCAGCGTCCTACACATGGAAATACGTGAAGTAGGGGTTCCCATCTGTAACGTCGACGTTTACCTATAATCCACCATGAGGTGAACCGTAGCTATACATATGTACTCTTGCTACATGTTCCCCCGAGTTCCCTGGACTCAGTGGAACTCGTGCTGTCCTGTCATGGCCCGTGTTGTTTGGAAATATAACAAGGCATGTTTTGATCAATTACTACAGCAACTTATCTCAATCCGCAATAAGACTGATAACATTTCCGGCTCACCGGCCTCAGTGGCATAATCGAGTCCACGCTCGGATGCAATCGAAGAAAAACCCTATTGTGATCCCATGAAACAAACCCCTGCGCTAGTCTCACACTCAAGGCTTTCGAAATGCGCGAGGACTATCTCTTTAGATGCGGAGTGGCTCGTGGAGACTCTCCTATCTAAGACAATTGTATGGCAGAGGAGTCTCCACGAGCCATTCCGCATCTAAAGAGATGACTCGCAAATGCATGACTTGAGCCTGGACAAGAATAGAGTCTGGCCATGTGCATTGCAATATCATATAGTCAGTAGCAGATATATTAATTACCCACCCAGAAATAGTACGCGCCAGCCTCCCAATGTATATGGCGGCACTTGGGCAAAGATGAGTTCTGCTTTCTTCCTTCTTCCTATTTTCTTTTTGCATGTAGATGCGACGTCCTTCATCAAATAACAGGGTATAGCCATGGCGTCCAAGCAATTGTGCGTCACGGCCAGAATCAGCTTAATCGTAGCACTCTTTATAATTTCCCTCCAACTGCTAGCTCATCTCACCGCGTCTTCATTACGGAGCCCATCCCCGAGGGACTCGAGGAAAGGGACGCCGCGTCTGGCCAGGCAAATACCCGCGAGTGAGCTCTTGTCCCGACGCCCAACAGACACCGGGGGTCCGATTCCCAAGATCTTTCACCAGAGCTGGAAGACTTTGGAGCTGCCGGCGCGATTCCGACACTGGAGTCTGTCGTGTCGTCGGAAGCACCCAGACTGGGAATGGGTCGTCTGGACCGACGAGGATAACCTGGCGCTGGTTCAGAAACATTTTCCCTGGCTTGAGGAGGCCTACCGCGGCCTGCCGGGAGTCATCTATCAGGCAGACCTGGCGCGGAATCTCTACATGTACATATACGGGGGGTGAGTGCGCCGCCAAACTTGCCCCAAGCACACATGGCATGGCTGTGCTTGTTGCCCTCTACACAATGGCTAACGGCTTGCCTCAAAGCGTGTACGCCGACCTCGACACCGAGTGTTTACGCCCGACAGAAGACCTGCAATGGGCGCATGGACCGCTGTTTAATCAACAAGGTAGCATTCCTGTGCCGGCCACGGCAATCTTTGGCCGAATGGGCAACGACCCCGACTTTGAGCATTCGATTCCCAATGCCTGGATGGCTTCGACGCCCGGCCATCGGTTCTTTCTGGCCGCGCTACAGGACTTCATGGACCTGTATAACCAGACGACGCGAGAGGGCGGAGAGTTGCCTGATCCAGAGAGCGTGACCGGCCCGGTCGCGTTGCGAGATGCCCTGGCCCGGTACGAGAGCAACAGGGTCTTGCATGGGCCTCGCATCAACGACGCCGTCGCCGGCCTCGCTCGCGGCGGGCCGTTTCCGCACACGCCTGCCGAGGAACCACGGGTGCTTTTGCTGCCGAGCCATGCGCTGTACGCGTACAGTTGGGGCGGGGACGGAGAGGACGTGCGTGACATGTGCTGGGTGGTCAACGATGGTTTCGACGCTGGGCGCTGCAAAGACCGGCTGGACACTCGTGGCAGAGGAAGCATATCCATCACCTATTGGAGCCACACGCATTCTCCAACGGGCCACGATGAGGAGAACATGAAGCACATTGCCGAGTGAGTCTTGTTGGTCTCTGGCATGAGGATGGCCTCGACGAACCAATACCGACTCTGAATCGGTAGTATACCGGGCAGGATGGAGGAAGGATTTTGCAAGTTGCGTCAAGTTGTGATGGGGCTGACTTGCACGGTTCTCAGGCATTGAACTTGGTGGTGCAGTGCGACAAGGGCTTATTATATAACGGAACGGCAGTTCTGTTCAGCCAATTTGCTTTGATATCAAAAGTCAGCTGGTCCTTGACTTTCCCCAAAGCCCTTGGGGCTGATGACCTTCGTTCATACAAACCAGCGGTTACGCTTCAGCCTTCCAGCTGAGACCTGTTGGTGCGAAGCTGATGTTGTGTGACAAGGGTTCAACATAGAAGGCTTAGAGCAAAAGGGGCGCAATTTAATAATAATCTTGAAGGGTCTCTAAGGTCTTAAGTTACTATAAAAGAGAAAACAAAAAAATTACCTCATATATAAGAATAAAAACTTAAGCCTAGAGTTCTTATCTAGGTATATATTTAAATCGTATTAATTAATAAGTTTTACATTAGTAAGGCCCTTTTATTAGGCTTTATAATTTGTTGGCCCTTTTCCGTGTAATATATCAACTCGCGAGGCTGAAGTGTCGAGGTCTGTTTTCTTGAAGATAATTTTGGGTGAGTCTGAACAAAGACTTGTCTAAATAAACGCGTTTTAACTAAAGTACAGCAGGGAAAGAAAAAAATGACATTGTGCTGATTGCCACGTACCCTGGTGTTTTGAGTGCACACAACGCTGTGCCACTTTACCAACTATCAGGCATAGATATTGCAGACCCTAGCAGGAGCGCACCGTATTATCCGATGTGGTCACGAGCATTTTACTCGAACTTGCGGGGCCAGCTTTGACTCCAGAAGTGATTTTTACTGTCGGTCTCACAGTAGGGTTAGGGTTATGGGCGCAGAAGCTTTTACTGAGAGCAATATATGGCTATTGTTTTTCTGATCCTTTAAAGCCCGAGGAAATACAATTTGCGGCAGACGGGAGGACAATAAAAGTGGCATTTAACAAGCCCATTATCCGTCATGTTGAGAATCTCCTGAGGGCTGTTGAAAGGAACAATAAGGACCAAGGTCGGTCCGCAGGCACGGCCCGCCCGTGGCACTTGGTTGGCCTTTGAGTTGAAGAAACGGCATAACGGGTAAGGTGTAAACGGTCAATTGTGGAGCAATTTAAATGGGGCGTTATCGGCCCCCTCCGAGGTCAGCCCCGAAGCTAACCCGGACCCTGGATTTTACTGCTCGTTGTGTTTAGAATCGACTTGGAATAAACTGTGAATAAACTGTCAATAGAAAAAAAAGGGCCGATAATTCACGACTAGAATAAGGCTCACTATATTAGCATGATATCTTGCGGCGCCAGCGAAACGATGGAAGACGATTTTGGTTTACAAAGCAATGTGTAACACCTTAAGGCCTTGGTGAAGATGGCGTCCATGTTTATTGAGGATGTCTTTCACTGCCATGATGCGGATAAAACAGAGTCATTTTATTCGTCTATTTGGTCCTCAACCCACGTTGATGCGGAATCATCCGAAATATGTAGTGGCACGAAAAACATCTCGGAACCAACTCGCTGATATGGATGACAAATGGAAGCATGACCTAGCCATATCCCCATGGGAGTGAAATGGGAGCATGTTGGGACTGCCTACACTTGGATCATCGAGGTCTGGCAGAACCCCGTTTTCCCAATCCATTCGGCACATCCAATAACTGCGCTCCTAGCTGCTGATGCTGACTATGGTGGCGGCGCGCACAATTGACTGCGGCCACGTTATGTCTCCCTACTTGCACAAGATTTGCTCGGGAAATTCCATGACAGAAGGCGGTGTTTACGGCTGACTCGTAAATGCTAAGACGGTCTGCCAGTAGACAGCGCTGAGACAAGCCACGGCAACCTGATTACGGAGTCTAGTAAACAAGGACAAGCCATTACGGGCTGTGCATCGTGTCCTTGCCCCTGAGAGACGAATACCGGGGATGAAATCGCCGAAAAGTCATGGCCGTAGACCCATCTAGAGACGGTGAGACGTCGATCAATACCACAACTTGCGGCGACGATGGTGCATGGCCACAAGTACGCAATCACGCTTGCTCCGCCACCATGAACTGGAGCTGCCTATCAAGTTGTTGCGGCATGTCATTGAGGCAAACCTGGGTCGATGGCGCCGTATAATCGATGTGTATAGTAGAAGCATGTATAGTAGGAGCACGGTGTGCATACTGGCGCCTATACACGACAGCCCATGCAAGCATTGACCCGAGTGCCGATAGCATGGCAATACTACACAGACTACGCTTGGATTTTGTCCCAAAGGGTCCAAATATTGCCTCAGCCCTAGGAGACGGGGCCACTCTCTACCTCTAGCCTCATCTTGGCGAGTCGTTGCATTGAATGCAAGCGGGCTAAAAGCGCCGACATGTGGAGCCGGATCCAAGGAACAAGGTCCGACGATGGCCTTTTTGACAGACTCTAGACCCGTTTCCGTTGCCCGGCCTGCTAGTATCAACGTCTGGCATGAGTCGAAACCTCACGTCAACTTGCGGGCTCCAGGGACATGCGCTAGGCTCTGTACTTTGCAGTGCGAGTACGAAGAGGAAGGACTGGCATCTCTAGAACTGTATAAAGAGGACTAGAATTCCGCCCTCATTTGGACCTTTGACCGATATCACTTTCCACAATACACCGCACACTATTCACATAAAACTCCTTCCTAACCGTCAAACAATCAATCAACATGAAGTCTTCAGTCGGTCTCGTCGCCATCATGGCTGGACTCGCCATGGCCAACCCCCTCGCTGCCTCGACCAAAACTGCCCGAGGATACATCACCAGCGATGAATTCAAGTATCTCCGCGTCGCGCTAGTCAGCTGCCTCGAGGCCAACGTATGTTTTCCCTTTTTGGCCCGTGAATCTGCTTCCACGGCAACGCGGCACTAACGTCTTGTCAAGCCCCCCCAGGATGCGGCCGTTTCAACCTGGGCCACGTCCATCGCGTCCAAGTACACTGTAAGTATCACTCGCTAGCTGAGACTAAACACGTCGGGGTTGTGCTCACAGAAAATAGACCATGGGTGAGATTGTCCAAGCCATTGTGGAGTGTGAGGCGAAGGAGACGAAGGCGAAACAGGCGTAATATGGATTCGTTGGCTTCGGTTATGAGGTTCTCAGTTGGTTGAAGCTCGGCCGTGACGGATCCAATAGACTTCTTTTACTCCTGGTTGGAACTAGGTTGTATGTCCAAGTGATGAATCTGTAGGCTTGAATTCACGCCCTCATTTACTTGCACTTTTGTCCTGGTCGTTCAAGCCGTCAGCCTGTTGTACACATACGATAACTGATTATTTAGAACTGGATAGGCCGCTATTTGAGTCATACCACGGTTCTAGGCGGCTACTGCTTTTACGTGCCGTTACCAAGTTTTGGGGAATTACGTCCTGCTCCAATTGTTTCTGTTGAATAGGACTTGTTTGCCAAACGCCAATTTGAATTCGATGACTGCGTTGTTACTCAGGAATCTGTCGCTACAACATCTTCCTTCCCTGCAATTCTACCAGCCGCCACATTACTATCCCAAGGCAGCTTCGCACCGACGGGGTCACATGTGCGAAAATCATGATTCATGACCCTTGGGTCCCTGTGGATGTAAGCTAGCTGCTAGGCACGCGTTATATCGATGCGTCAGGCGAATAAAGAGATTTGTAGGATACAATCTCTAGTTATAGAAATCAAAAAACCAAATCCTGGTTGAGAATCGATTCTTGCTACCAAAACAACTTGGCGCTATATGTGACAAGGGTTCAATATGAAGGCTTGGAGCAAAAGGGGCTCAATTCAATAATAATCTCGTAGGATGTCAAAGGTCCTGAGTTGCTACGAGAGAGGAAGAGAAGGGTGACCGCCTTATATACATGAAAGGAACGCCCGGGCCTAAGGTCCTTGCCCGGGCACGTGTTCTAGCTGTGTAACCAACAGGTCCTGTATCGGCGAAGCCCCTTTGTTGGGCTTCGCGATCTGTTGGGCCTTTTCCGTGTAACACTATAGTATACTCAAGTTTCAGTGTCTGAAATTGACAAGCGGTCAACATTTCGATTCGCCATGCGGGACCAGCTGCTTTCACATCTGCACACTTTATACAAGCAGTTTTGGAAATTCATCCATTACATCTATTTCAAGGGCGAAATACCAGCTTGTACATTTCGCCAGAATATCTCAACACACAGCACTCGCACCCCCAGCCAACTCCATGCCACTCAGCCAACAACGCCTACGTATTCGGTCAATACGTATCTCAGATAAATACTCTATTGACTTTTCTCCCCGCCACAAACTCCGTCTTGATGCGTCAGTCACTCACCGCCACCCCAGCTAATACAGACTATCGCCCGAGCCGCAGTTGTGTGTCTTCTCAGCCACGTCCACGGCCTCAGCCCAGTCATCGAACGCTCTCCTGACACCCCGTCTGCTTCTTGGGTTAATCGTCGTCTTGTTCCTGGGCGGAACACCCTCCAGGCTCAGCGCAAATTGGGCCGCAACCCGGGCCGCGGCCTTGGTGTTGACAGTCAGGGCATCCCAGTTGATGTTGTTGACGGTATCGCAAGCCTGGTGGTAACACGGGTCAGTGTCGGGCGAGGCACCAGTGAATAGGCCCGACGATGGAATTCCCAGGTTGAGAAAAGCGACGTAGTCGGACGAAGAACCGAATTTCCTTTTCCCCAAAGTGTTAGCTGTTTTGCTTCGTGGCCCTTTGTAGATGCTGGTCAGTGGTCACATACTTGTACTCGGCTGGCTTGCCCTGAGCCTGTAAATAGTCGAACAAGGGTGCGCCGCCAAACTTGTGTCCCTCGTCGTTTGCGTAGACGACAAACTCGGGGTGGGGCGATCCAATCATGTCGTAGTTGAAGTAGAACTTGATGCGGTCGGCTTCCGCCTCGGTGAGGTTGGAACCGTAGTACAACGATCCGATCAAGCCGCTCTCCTCTGCTCCCCACCACGCGACGCGAACCGTATTCTTGATGCCGTCATATCGAATCAACTGCTCGATAATCTCCAGCAAGGCGGCGGTTCCGCTGCCGTCGTCGTTGACCCCGGGCCCCGGGAGGACGCTGTCCAGATGGGCGCCCAGCATGACGACATTGTTCTTGTCGCCGGCTTTGGTCTCCGAGATGATGTTCCACGTCTCGCGGGTTTCGGAGACGGCATCGACGACCAGGGTGACGCTGAGCTTGTCGCCGGCGGCAACACGCGCGGCCCAGGCTTCACCGTCCTCTAGGGAAACGAGCCCAGACGGAATCAGCTTGCCGACGTTTTTCGCCTGCAGCGTAGCGGTGCTGTAGTTCTTGCCGGGGGTGTTGTTGTAGAAGATGACGGCCTTGGCTCCGGCTGCCTTTGCCAGCAGCGTCATGTCGGCAAAGGCACAGCCTCCTCGCTTCAGCAGGGCAACCTTTCCCTGGGCATCAATGTTCTTCCACTGGTCCTCAAAGCAGCCGCTGCCCCGGTCCGCCTCGTAGGGCACATGGACGAGCTCGCCGGTGATGCCGTCGGGAAGGGGAGTGCCCGGGTTGTACTGCAGGGAGATGACGTACACTTGGGCGCCGTCGGGGCCCTTGACTTGGATCTTCTTTACTTGGTGGAAGAGGTGGTCAAAGGGCTGGACAAAGGTGTTGAGGTGTTTGCCAAAGCGGTTGACGACGCGTTCGAGGACAAAGTCCAGCGACGCCTTGTAGCCGCTTGTGCCAAACGCCCTGTTTCCACCGTGGTCGTCGCCGATCTTGTTCAGATTCCAGAGGATGTTTTCCAGCCTGTGCGAGTCAGAAGGAGGCGGGGACGGGCGCGACAAGAGCCGACTCACCGGTCCTTTTGAATGCCGGCCTCCACCTTGTCCGGGGTGAGAAGCTCGGTGGCGGCGGTTGCCGTCAACAGGCCGGCGTAGAGGCAGGCATTGTACAGCTTCATGGCGCAAGAAGGTGGAAAGTATGATGGGTTGATGTCGAGTCAATGGGCAAACGCGGTCACGGGGGCGGTCACGAGAGCGGGCACGAGCAGGCACGACGAGAATGAGTAAAGCGTCGATGTCGACTCTGAGTCTGGAGGACGGCGCCCTAGGCAAGCACCGACTCTCTCCCGCGCATTAAATACGTTTTGCAATCAACAACACGAGACCAAGTCGGACGTGGGTTCGGTTGCACCCAACGTTGTATCTTGTCACTGCCAAGGCCCCAGCCCCTTCCAAGTTGCGACTTATAAAGCATGGACGGTTTAAGCTTCAATTGCAACTGCCTATTTCGGCTACTATGCGGGGATCCCATCCAAACATCTGCACAAGTCCCTTGGTACCCCCTTGGCGCCACGGCAGTCCGCTATTGCGTATCTCGTTTTTTGTGGGAACCTGCCCCTTGCGGTGAGGAGATGGGAAGGTCGGCCGTCTTGGGTTGACATGTTGCCGTCGGGTCCAAGACGTGTGAGACATGTTGAATCCGGTACGCTGACACGACGAGCAGAATTGCGCAATGTGGCGCATGTCAAGAGTCAAGACCCAAGAGTCAAGAGCCAATATACACTTGCGTGCCGGCAAAGGCGGACCAATCATCTCATGGCTCTTCCTCGGCCCATGACAAACGAGGAAGCTGGTCAAGACCCGAGACTGTTCTGGCCCTCTAGACTTTTCACCTTTATTTTTAAGCTGGAGTGTATGCCGCATCGTGACAACATATGTATTGGTGCAGGATTCGGCCTGGCCGGTCAAAGAGAAAACTATGGTTGGCGGTGGAAGTTTTTGGGCCATGCAGGCTTGAGTCGAGGGGTTTGGCCGAGTCATGTCTATCTGACATGGACTTTGCACTTTTGTGCAAACGGCTTCTCCTCGCATGGCTGCTGAATGTCTGGTAATGGGTTGTCAAAAGGTACCACAAACCAACCACCATAGTAGCCACATCTGTATGCGAAACTGTCCCGTTCATAGAATCTGCCATCTACCCAAGTTACTATAAATACCATGTATGATGCTGATATTCTCTGCCTAGACAACTAGCTACATCTTGGACACAATATTACGACATGGCCCATACTTTGAACATGAATACATGTCCTCGTTATTCAGTACAGGACGTCTCAAGCTTGGTCCCCGCGATGAGGAAGCCACCTAACACCAAGTGGCTTGATGTCGTCCCATCTGGCTCAGTCAAAGGCATGTATCAAAGGCAGCATACACGGAGTGGTAGTCAGATGCCTCAACACCACCGTATCGCGCCCGCCAAATGCCCGCCAGGCTATTTCTGGGGGGAGGACGGACAAAATGTCCCCGAAAAGATACACGACGGATACAGAGAAGCACGCCGCCTCATTCAGGACGGAAGCCTAGGAGACCTCGAGAGCCTCTCGGAAGCAGCCATGCTGCGCATCACCGAGGCATTCGACAGCCTCAAGTCACCCGACGGCACGTCCAAGGGGAGCCTGGTGAAACTGCGTCTCTCTGACGATCTCGAGCAGTGGCGCCGGGAGCAGCACGCCCTGGGGCGCATCTTGCCGAGCAAAGGCCATGGCCTGGGTTCCGTTTCCAAAGAGGCGCTGGCGCTTCTTGGTGCGCAGACGTGGCCGGAGCCTCTTGTCCAGAACAACACCCTGTTCATCTCCGGCATGGCCAACATGCTGATTGGGGCGAGTGACGCCGAAGCCCTATACACAAACTACTGTCTCGACGTGGCCTTCTTCTACGAGCACGGCTACCACAAGGTGTTCCCGGGCTTCGAGGACCTGGTCCAGGCACAGCTACACTCTGCCGGCGGCTCGGAAAGAAAGGCTGCCGTCAACATTGGCATGCGGTACATCAGAGCCAAGGTGGCCCTGGAGGAAGCCCACAAGGAACAAGCCTCCGACATGATGGCCAAGCTGGATCGGCGCAGTGCGCAAATCGTCTTCTTCCTCGAGAGCAGCATCCTCGGAATGGCCCGCGAGGCCATGATGCGCGGGTTCGACCGGGCCGCCGTCATGAGCGACCTGATATTCTCCTCGCCCGGCACGGACGTCATCGACGTCGGCTCGGACCTGTACAACTGCGAGCTGTGGAATTCCTTCCTCAACACGGCGGACATCACGTCGACCGGGGTGGTCGCCGAGGAGGCGCTGCGCAAGGTGTACGATGCGTATGCGCACACGGGCGCGAGGATGCTGTGCGAGCGCTGGTCGGAGCCTGCGGCGCGATTGTCGGCGATGCTCTACCCGTGGCACATGGTCAATGATAGGCACCGGTTTCTTAGGCGCGCTCTGCTTGGCTTCCCCAAGGCGCGGAAGGGTGCGGCGCAGCCGCGCGAGGCCGACTTTGACGAGGTTTTTGACTTGGAGCTGCGCACGACCGGCTTCAGCAGGCCGCTGAAAGAGGCGTGCAGCGTTGGCGAGCCGTGCGACCAGGTAGAAGGCTTTCTTGGCGCGCATGACCGAGGGGAGGGTGTGTTGGCGGAGCTTTGGTGGTCTCTTGTTACTGGCCCGGTGAGATATGTCGCCCGGGGTGTTGTTGGGCCAGCTGAGGAGGAGGACCTGGCTGAAAGGCTGCGGCTGAGCATGGCTCGATCTTACTCGCATGGACTTGTGGATGAGATGACTTGGCTCATTGCCCATGCTAGCCACCATGCCTGGCAGGTGAATCGACTTTTTGAGGCGGCAATGTTTGGAAGCCTTCTGGATGATGGAGGCTTGCGCGGCAAGCTCGACAGGAAAGACTGCTAAGCCATGTCATTTTATAAAGGTTGTTCAAGTTTGTATAGTGTATTCTCGGATGGATGTGGTGATGAGAGTTTATATAGTGAGAGCATTGAGAGGTAAAAAGTACTTAACGAGGTCAGGTGCCTGGACATCTCGCTCTCTATTATAATTTATTCCGGTGTATTAGTGCATGCTTTTTGGGGGGCAAATTTATTCTGCCATGGACTGTATCTGACTATTGTTGCGTCATATTGCATTAGAACTGAGAAGAGTGTTCTGCAGATATTGCACCACATTTGCGAGCCTTCTAGGTTGCGGGTTTTTTATTAATCAGGTTATTCTTTTGATCTCCTGTGGTTCTTGTAAGAGTCGGGTTGGGCTCTCGGCCCAGCTGCCTGAGCCTCAGCTATGCCATCTCCGGCTGTATGTACATTATACCTGCAGAAAAGAATTTACTTGGATAATCATCAGGATTTCTATTCGTATGTGACAAGGGCCTGTGTTTAGAGGCTTGGAACAGTATTCATATTCAGCTAATACGGAGTACTTTGCTTCGATATCAAAGGTCCTTGGTTCTCCTTGAGGCCTTAAAGCGGAAGACCTTTATTTAGATCAACAAGCGGTGAGGGACCTTGTCCTAGGTTGTGACAAGGGCTCGGAAAGAGGGCTTGGAGCAATAGCTCAATTCAACTAATAACAGTCTTTGGTATCAAAGGTCCTTGGTTTTCCTCAAGGCCTTGAGGGACCGAAGCCGTCTATTTATACAAGAAGTCGGTGAGGGACTTTGCCCTAGGTCTCGTGACCGTAGCCCTTGTGTAACCAGCCATTTCCGTGTAACATAGGTCTCGTGATCGCAGCCCTTGGGTAATTATCGTCGGGTTCAAGGCTCGGCCCGTGCCTTCATGGCAACGTGTCAACCGTGCAACATCGTAGTGTTGTTGCGTTGATGCTGTGCGCCTTGCACAGTTGTGCAACATAACCTGCAAAGAGGTACAACAGTTAAAGCCTTGTGGCAATTAAAGGGGGACTTTTTCAATCACGATTTGCCCTCTGTGAGACTCGAAGCCAATTCCAGTTGGAAGGGATGAATATAGAGAACAGGATCCATGGCATGGACATTTGACCTTTGGTTATATATCAGGAGTCCAACACTCTACGGGGTGCGGCCATCTTGCCAATGACCACTAGAGGCTGTAATTATTATTAATATAATAGTATTTTGACTCAAGGTTCTTGGGCCACGTCCGAAGAAGCCAAGGGCTTCGACTACATCACTTGTCACCGTTGGCCCATGATAATCGCCACACGCATGGAAATCTGTATTAAGCTGCTCAAGGTTTTGGTGTATTAATATCAACCGAAGAATGCCGCTGTACCGCTTGGAAACCATTGAAATTCATTCTCTTTGGCCATCTGGTCTTTGCTGAGTTGGTGCCGGAAAGAGGCCGTTTGGATAGAAAACAACAACAGGTTATATGACGTATTGCCTTGAGCCCCTGATGTTATCCTATGTGACGAGGGTTTAGCAAGGCTCGGAACGTAACGGTCCAAATTCAAAGATAATATCGAACAGTGCCAAAGGTCCTTGGTTTTCCAAGAGGAAAGAAGGGAGCAATGACTACTATACAAAAAGGGAACGCGTATGCCCAGGGCTCTTACCCGGGCACGTGTTCAATCCGTGTGACCAACAGGTCCTTTGTCGGTGAAGCCGCGTTGTTGGGCTTCACGATCTGTTGGGCGTTTTCCGTGTAACATACAGTTACATTGATAAGTGACATAACCGGCACAGCCGATCTCGGCTGCAACACCACAAAGATGCATCACCACGAGTCGCGACGCACAAGGTGGTATGGCCCTGACTCGTGGGTACGACTCGGGGCTTACATGCTGGACGCTAACGCAACTCTAATCCAGATGCCTCGTTCATTTGGGTCAGGTTACACACATACAGGACCTCATGTATATATGGAGGTAAAAGGTCAGTAATTGAATTGAGAAAGCCAAGCCTCTTGAAAACCCAAAAACAAGGATTGGCCGAGTTTGAAGCTACTCACCAGCTCTCATTTGAGCTCCTGTCACGCGTCTTCTTTACGACCCGGAACTCTCTCCTCTCTCTGTATCAATCACTTATACCCGTGCAACGAGCACAAACCACCTTTTCAAAATGGAGACGGACTCATTTAAGCGCCAGTACGCAGACATCCTGCGGCGCTATCTTTGCGGAATTTCATACCAGAAACTGTCTTGCGAGTACGACCCGTCCATAGAAGAGACCGTCGTGCAGCACTTTCGCACGCTCAACTTTCCCAATGACTTCTTAAAGCGCATGATGCCCATTATCCACGCGAGCGCCTGGATAGCGACAAGCACATATCCCTTCACACCGCGCCATGTCCAGGAGGCGATTGCGGTATACACTTCGCTGGCAATCGCCATAGAAGACACGAGCAAAGAAAGCACACACGACCTCAAACGCTTCCAGCAGCGCTTATTCAACAGGCAGCCGCAGCCTAACCTTCTCCTGCAGGCCATGGTAGATTGCCTCGTGTCCCTGCGCGGCATCTACGGCCCCTTCATCTGCGACATGGTCGCCAAGTCGACCGCCGAGTACATAAGCGTGTGCGCGTTCGAGGCAAAATACGACGGGACGCTGCGTCCCACGCCGAGCTCGCCCGACTTTCCGTACTACCTGCGGCTCAAGACGGGCGTGGCAGAGGTGTACGCCTTCTTCGCCTTTCCCGAGGTGCTGTATCCGGAGGAGGCGTTTCTGCACGAGTACATTCTCGCGGTGCCGGATATTTCCCGGTACTTTAATCTCGGCAACGACCTCTTGTCGTTTTACAAGGAGTCGATTGTCGCGGACGAGCGGCTGAATTACATATACAACTGCTCGCGCGTGAGTAATAGTACGCCGCTCGAGTCGATCTGGTCGACGCACTTGGCCCTGATTACTTGCGTGGAGAATATTCGAAAGACGCTCTCTGCTAGCCCGCAGATGCGGAGGAATATTGACCAGCTTATTAATGGCTACGTCATGTACCACTTTGGTGCGTCGCGGTACAAGCTCTCGGATCTGGGCATTCAAGAGGTGGATGAGCTAAGGGCAAAGATTTGCTGTTCTACTACAGTGGATAACGGAGTCGGTGCGTATAAACATTAAAATGGTCTTGTAGTTTTCAAGGTTACGGAGACGTGTCAATCATGAAAGGTAAAGTCACTAGTGCAAACTAAGCAGAGGGTGCTATTTCCCAATTGGGCAATAGCAACTAGTATGCCGCGACGTTGCGGGGAGTAGTATCAATTGCTACCGTAATTTTCGTATAAGTGTATAGTTGTCAGTCTGTTAGGAAATGAAGTCTCTCGGTACCCAATTGATGAGGGTCGTCTCGCTTGATTGAATTCTCCATGTTGCCGATGAAAGCTATGCCTCACTAGCTACGAAAAAAGGTCCCTGCATTCAAAATGCTGAATGGCATGCCCTCTGCGTCAGCGTGTTCCATTCCTTCCATTCCGGCAAACAGCTTTCTGAGTGCCTTGCCGTCTGAGCCGCCCGGAACTCGCCCAATCACTGCCTCGGACAACATGCGGAGCTGCATGGGGAATTGGGAGTCGCCGTACTTTTCAATAATGTCGCTCTTTTCCACGGCGCATTCCAGGTATGCCCGGTAGTTGCCCTCCTGCGGAGTCATACCAAACGCCTCGCAATCCCTCCTCTTGGAAGCATCCCACCACGGCGGTAGCAGACCGCGACGAGACGCGGCGCGGCGCAGGAAGCGCTGGAAGCCAAGCAGTCCGTCGGGCGCGCCGGAGTAGAGGCTGTCATCATCCACCTCGCCTTCAAGGTTGTACATGTCGTCGACGTTTAGGCGGTAAGCATCGATGAGGAGCATGTAGACGTCCTTCTCCGATCGGTCATGCAGCCAAGTGCCATTATCGAGGCGAGTGAATGGCTTGGCGACGCCTCCTTCCAGTCCTTTCGGGGGTGACAGCTTGTCGGCCGATGATGGCTTGGCCTGTGCCTGGCTGCTACAGATCTTCTTGTGGGACTTCCAATCTGCCTTTTGGCAGTCCCTAGAGCAGTACGGAGTCGTGGAACATCTTGCGCAGCGCTTGAGAGTGACCTCGGGAGGCGATTTTTTGCAGACGGCGCATGCGGTGTCCATGGCGCGTCGATAGTTGTCTGAAAAAGTGGTGGAAGGCTGGTGAAGTTTGCTATGTCAGAGACAAGAGTTGGAAAAGCAAATTTTCTCGTGGGCGGTGTGCTTTGCAGAACGCCAAGTACAGTGAACCTGCTCTATAACGATCATGTATCTTGGCGATAGTCGGGTTATTACGATAATTCACGGTCATCTAAGGGTTTTCCCTAGTAAATCGTTAATAGTTAGGTTACTGACGATATTATAGGCATCAGGCTTAGTCACCATACAAATCAGGGCTTTTATCGTTATTAGGGGCCTGCTGAGGCCTATAAGGCCCCGCATGTAAGGCCTACAGCGCGTTTTTCCAGCCGTGACGTGGTCAGAAAAAAACCAGACCTATCCTTGTAAATATACCATATCATGATAAATATGTGTAAAGATATATGCCCTATAATAGTCGCACCTTTACGATAGTCGCCGAATAACGGATAAGAGGGGCCTCGCGAAGCATATCGTTATAGGCCCGGTTCACTGTACTTTGTTTGTTACACAGCCAAGGCACGTGTTGCGACATGTGAGCAAGCGGTTCGACTCGGCGGACTGGTTCCAAGCCCGTCTCCGAATAAACCATGAGGACGTGCGTTCCAACGGCAGAAGCAAGCTGGTTCATTCAACAGTCGCAGCTGGGCTGGCGCGTTGCGGTGATGTGTTGGAGTAGTTTATGTCTTTTAGCGAGGGAGACGACCAAATTCAGATGCGACTAGTCACACGGTTGGCTCACATTGCACAACAACCGTCACACAATAATAAAGAAAAGATGACGAGACCCGAAATCGGCCTTGAGCGAGAGCTACCTCAGGCACTAGTCCTGACCGACTTCTTGTATTTGCAGACCTCCGGTCCCTCGAGGCCTCATGGAAAACCAAGTGCCCTTGATACCCTAAAGTCGATTATTATAGTTTGAATTAAACACATCATTCCGAGCCTAGTCATGCAGCAGCCTATACAAGGATTTAAGCTTCAATATAAACTAGTGTCACATGGTTACACAAGGGCTACGATGACGAGACCTAGGGCACAAGGCTCGTCGCTTCTTGTAAAAGTAGAGCTCTTTGGTCCATCTAAGCTTTGAGGAAAAGGAAGAATCCTGAGCACCAAGGACTGTTATTAGATGAATAAAGTCATTCCTCCAAACCTCACTGAGCCGTGGTCACACTGGTCAGTCAGCTACCAACTACCTAGGAAGCGAGCCTTCCATCTCCGTAGCCAGATGGATTGAACAAAGGACTAATTCCGCTAATCAATTCAATATATAGTCACCAATCGTGAACCGCTCTTTTTAAAGGACCAAGTGTCAAGATGTGTCCATGTCTTTTGTAACTGAGAAAATGACAAAACTAGAATCATACAACACCCGGTGTTTGCTGGCTGTCTCTGCCTTCTGGTGGTTTATTGATTTCTGGAAATTGAATGTGGACCTGGGTCGTGGTTGAATCTATCCATCAAGGGAATTGAAGCCCTTTGTATAGCAAGACACCAAAAAATCCGGCTTGTTGGAAAGCCCGATTGAGGACTCATTCGATGACGTACTCGTGGAGAGATAAGCCAGTGCAGTATTTATATTCGTAATTGGATTGTTCATGTACAATACCTGCGAGATGTGACCTCGATCAACATGGCAACGTTTTGTTCTTCCTACTTCCGCGGACTCGGATGCTCAAATTTCCCAAGTGGCACGCGGCTCCACAGAATGCCATGCGCATAATTTACAATGACACCAAGAGAACCAACAAACGGGCGTGGCCGCGTCACGTATCTGATATACATGTCACCGCACAGTTCACATGTCCCTGGTGATGTCGGTAGTAATTTCCACGCATTGTGCGGCAGACTGCGGCCGATAGCAGAGCTCCCCTAGACTATAATGGAGCTGATGGAGAACTGGTTCCCGAGGTCAAGAGGCAGTCGGGGCATAATGAATAATACATTTGTAAAGACATTAGAACCCTGGGCTCACCGTTGACACGTATGTACTACCAGTAATTTGTCAATTTGGGCAACAACTGCCGACCAGCGCCTTACGAGTATATGGAGAAGCGGCACCCACGAGCTGTATATAGCCGACGGTCTAGGATAGAATAGGTTAGCTCTCGGCCGGATCTCGACTAGGATTTGATAGCTGCCGCGCCACGACTATACGATATAGTGGTGCTTCGGGCACAAGACGTTCTATTCTTCCAGTCTTGGCATGACCAACTTCATTTATGCATCTTGTATAGACGACCGATGCTCGTGCCACGTCCCACTCGAAGCCTCAACTACTCCTTTCGAGCTCCAAAAAGCGAAGGCGCGGCACGACTATTAAAGGGACGCTCCACGCTCTGTCGACTGTGAATATCGACATGCTGACCATCCTTGGCTTTCACCGTTGCCTATTTCCCTCTACTGCTCGCCAATCGCTCGCCCGTCAGCCATCACCACCTCGATTACCAAGATGAAGTTTCCAACCGTTCTGCTCGCTGTCTCCGGCGCCCTGGCGATTCCGCAAGCCCAACAGAGTGACGCGATTGCTCGCCGCGCCCAAGTTCTTTGCGGGAGAGCCGAAAACATCAACATGTCCCAGTGCAAGACAGACACCGAGAAATGCATCACAGACAGTCTGGCCGAGAAGAAGCTGGATAGTGTCCCATCACCTGCCGACTTCATCTTCTGGGGCAACGTCAAGAGATGTGGCCTCGGGAAGCAAATCGGATCCAAAAACTCGGTGCGCCAGCATTCGTCATGTCCGTACAAACCTTTCTGGCTAACCTTGCCGTAGACGCCGCAGAACTTTGTTGCCTTGAACAACGGCGTCCTTACCCTCATCGATGGCTGCGAAGTACAGGTACTTGCACCCTTGTTCTCCTCCTCAAGCACCTTTTCTGCTGCTAACACGAGGTCCCCAGGAGGGCAACGTCTTCTACTGCAATGAATGGCCTAAAGGCAATCCCGGATCTTGCAGCAGCGAAGACAAGAATTGCTATCCGATGAGCATGCTTCCCGAGCTTTGTGCCGAGGCAGGAGTGGTAGGTGCTTCCACTTGGATCAAGACCAAGAAAAGAAAATACATGCTAACGCAGCCGACTTATATAGTGCAAGACGTGTGAATACGGGCTTTCCAACAGGGGCGGCTTCGGTAAGAGAGCCGGCTTTTCTCCTGTAAGTCACCAAGTTCGCCTAGACTCGTCTCATACAAACATACTGACTGCTAATTCTAGAACACCATCTACTGCAAGCTGGAGTAATAGCTGCCTGGGTAGAGGCCAGGAAGCCGCAATGCGCGAGTATTGTGTATCAGGCTTGGAAATTCGTACCTTTCGAAAACCTCGACAATCTCTGCAAAAAGCCTTGGCGCGCTACTTGCCTTGCAGGGATTTGTGTTATTATGTATAGTTGCCTCAAGCGGTTGAATGCTATTAAAAAGATGGTGCTATATTAGTAGCTACTAAATAGCAAAGGTTGCTCTTATATAGAAATGAAAAATTATTTAATTCTTATACCAAAGAGAATCGTGGTGCGTAACGTTTTGTATCGAATACGCGGTGGATAAAAGATTGCCTAGGTTGGGGGGGATTCTTTACCCTTTGGCCAAGACGGTTAATACTACAGTCCCGCCAATAGTCGCTGTGCAATTACGTTGGACTCTTCTATTACCTCGGCTATGCCGACTGAAAAGCTTTCTATATTCCGTGTTGAATGCAACAGTACACCTTTTCATATCACACAGCCTTTTTCATAGCCGTGTTTAAATCATCTTACGGCCATCCCTTTGCAGCACACGTATATTATAAGATGGAGGAATCTCTTGTCAGGCAGGATTAGAGATTGTCTTATACGCCGCTCATATACTAGTCTTGTCGAATAAATCTTTCTGCCGTTCAAGGGAGAGGGAATTGCTCAAGGCTTGGGTCTTTAAACAAGGACTGCGAGTCTCTAGAAGAGTAAATCAAGACTTGGAATAAAGCACTATAGGCATTCAAGACACCCGGCCGTATATACGGGGTGCCGGCCATGTTGAGCCCATGTGGTGGAATGACTTGGTTCGTTGAAACGGGGTAAAAACATAGATAAAAGTCGTTAAGAGGCTGTATAGCTTGCAAGATCTTAGCACTAACCCAGACGCTATTGGTATTCTATCGTCTTTTAATGGCCATCTCAGATTCCGGCAACAAGACTTGTCTTTCTCTTGCATCCTCGGCTCGTTGGCCATTCAACTGTTGCTCTCAGCCTTGCCGTTGCACCCGACTGTCAGCTTCTACGTCGTATCGTTGACGTTGCACCATGATGATTCAGCTACATGACGCGTAGCGCCATATCAATGATTCGTTGGGCATGAATGCAGCTGGTTTGGCGTCACACGGTTACACGAGGACTATGATCACGGGGCCCGAGGCAGAATTCTCTCACCAACGTCTTGTATAAATAGAAGCTCTCTAATCAACTAGTCCTCAAGGAATACTAACGTCCTTTAATACCAAAGAGGGTTATTGGATGAATTGGACTATCAAATCTAAGCACTCTACCAGCCCTTGTCACACTCAGCCTTGTCTGGAAACCCCTTCATAGTGGCATAACCCCACGACACCTTTCTGGCTACGACATCAAGAGTGCGCAGCATCATTCATTCCAGCCGGTCTGCACAAACAACATGGATCGCTCCACTATCATCACATCTATCCCTTCAGAGTCGGATGACGAGGTAGACAACGATCCTCCACCTCCCGGGGAAGTTTGGGCTTACCCGTGCAAACTTGCGTCGTGTCCCGACTACGGGAAATCTTGGCTCTTACGCAGCAACTTCCTCCTTCACTTACAAGAACAAGAGGCGCACCTAGCAAGCGCAGCAAGCACAGCCGCGCGCCGTGCCATCGAATTGCTGTGGCGATATAGCGCCGATCCCCGTTTGCCGCCCCGTGCGGCCCCTATGTTTCGGTCTCGCGCGCATCCCGAGGAGCATATCTGGGAATATGGGTTTCGGGATCATACCGGCAAGATGGTAAACCGCAGGGGGACACAACGGCAGATGGAACGGGATCTGGCCCTGGCCCGGCGACGCCAGGGCTAAGAAGCATGTAGAAGAAAGGGTAGTACCCGATGCTTGGGTGGCAGTACTGCTGTCCAACTATGTTTCATCTGGGAAGATTCCAGTCCAGAAGCAACTGAATGGTTCCTCCTGTTATTACAATATTCGTTTGATCGCGCCAAAGATGTGCTAACCGAAGTTATGGCATACGTCGGTGTTGCTGACAGTCGATCATACCAACCGACCGAAAATGGGAGTCCTTGAATACCATCGATACACAAGACTGAGTTGAAGAAAGAATAGACCAGAATGCCATGGGATTCCCAAGGAGCTTTCACTACTCTTCTGTGCCGCAGAGTACTTCAAAGACCCCCCTTAAGCCTTCCCTGCGTTGTCGACGCCATTCCCTGGTAGTCATGGATGCCGGCTCGTCTTCCTCATTAGCTCTTGAAACATCTTTATACTCGCCCTCGTCGTCTTCGGTGATGTCAATAGATGTCTCAGCGGATGCCGCTACGTATAGTGCTTGAGAAGCTAATAGCAGGCTGCTAGGACCTTTGTGCGAGTCTACCTAGAACTGACAACCACGGTTTCCGTCAGCAGGTCTCATAGTCGCCAATAATCAGCTGAAATTGCTGTCGTCACATGATTTCGCAGAAGTGCGACTGATTCCTGCCTAAAATGATGGTTGAAGCTCAGCACGTAACATTTCCACGTAACTTTCCGGACCGAGCGTTTTTCTCTGGGACACTTACGAGATCATTTCCTGTGAGAGTTTTACATTAGCTTAAGACGCAGTGCTAGGCGTTTGGCGACACCAGTGAGTGGTACATACCGATGTCCTTGGGGTGAATCCGACCTTGTAATGGAACCCATTCATGACATTGTTGAACGAAGCGAATTGCTGCATTGCAAAGTTTTATTCGAAACATTTGTCCATTACATGTATGGCGATGAATATTAGCATTTCCTTAGACTATACGTTTCAACAGCAATTCATCAAAGAAGAATTGCGACAAATCACACCCTCAAAGAGATCGTAAAGTTTACGCAAGAGAGCGCCGCAAACCCGAGGACGCAGGGGGCACTTTTGCTATTGAAATGAATACAGAGCCAAGTGGGGGGCCGTTTACAAATGGCGAAAATTGGTTCATAATGTCGGCGACATCAGAAAAGTTGGCCATGACAACATAATAGCTTCGGAGACAAGAGGCTCATATATATCAAAGACTCACACCAAGAGAGTTACGTCTTATAAAGTCGATAAGCAAGGTCAGTTCCTAGGGTATCATAGGTGCTCTAAGCCTTGTTCGCCATGTTTTTTCGGCATCCACATCGTGTTTCTAAGGTGATGTGATAAGGGTCAGTGAGGGCTTGGGGTCAATAACTCAATTCATCTAATAACAGTCTTTGCTATGAAAGCTCCTTGGTTTTCCTCAAGACATACATGGCCAACGAGGTCTATTTCTGCAAGAAGTCGGTGAGTCTTGTGCCCTATGTCCCGTGGTCGTAGCTCTCGCGTAACCGTGTGACAGGCGAGAGGCAAAAGGTATTGAGCTAGGCTAAATACCTAGCTATCACATTTTATACTTCCATGTACCACAGTATATTAAATACTATAACATATTAGAAGGTACATGTTAGTAGGCAAACGTCTTCCGCTACGAACTTTATGAAGCTGATAATAGCGAGTATGCGCAGCGCGATACGGGTGTTTATCCCGGTGAACAGCTGAAGATGACACGGACGAAAGACGGACACGGTCGGGATTCCCCTTCTCTCTTTACTTGATGACTCCAGGAACTAACTATTATAATCGTAAGCATGGTATACCGACTTATATTGTGCATGTCGCCATTGTTATCCCAGAAGATGCTACTGCTAGTGAGTCGTAAGTATTTACCTTGCTTTATCGGATCAGAAATTCGTCCTCGTGCTAATGCTAGTACCTCACGCGCTTTTCCAAAGACGCCGAATATTCGGGACAGTCTCGATGCATCATCTAGCTCATTCCTTGTCGTTTAGATTGGTAGGGTGAAGGCGGTATCGGTTGGCGCTGACGTAGAGGCATTGAGAAGAGACGCTGGATAAGTATGAAAACTAACGTGTATAAGACGCCCTGCATATCCTCTCGCCGAATATAGAAGAACCAAGGGCTATCATATCTACATCCATATCTTACAGCTGTCTTTTGTGCTATCAGGACAAGCGTTCGCAGAGGCCATCTTGCAAGCCGAGTGCTATGCAAAATTCCATGGCCGGCCAGCAGGTTCAATAGCTTGGAAGTCGGCAGAGACAAGCCTTTCTCCCTTTTGACGTTCCTTTAGCTTGTACTAGGTCAAAAAGAGCTCCCGGCCAACCTAAGCAGGAAGATTACAATTAGAATACCGCTACATGGTCGGCCCTCTCACCAGACAAACGTATTGTAGCCTGTTCCGTAGACAATCTGCATCTCCGTAGCGGATCCATCTTTTATACTCGCAAACTCAGTCCCTGAGATATACAGACCAACAGTGTAGGATCTCAAGCTTTGCGAGCCGCCGTGGTTATACGTGCTTAATGAGGAGAGCATGCTTCACTGATGAATGCACAGGTTGGTACACGGATACGGCTAACGCAGGTTGACGTCTCGACAGCAATGTAACGTCTTCACTTTTTTTAGCCCTGCTAAACTGCCATCACTCATCTGTCAAGTGTTTGTGCTACCGCAATCCTCCAGCAACAAGGACCTCCTGCCCCGTCATATACCCCGTTTTCGCAAACCTAACCCAGCACATTAGCCCCGATACTTGCGAAAAGCCAAATCTACACTCACAAGACGACGATGTTTGCCACTTCTTCAGGCGCTCCCAGTCTGTGGACGGGCACGCTGCTGGCAATAGCGAGACCCGGATCCGTCGACCTAAGTTCTTCCGGGTCGGTGTTGCTTTGCCAGGTACTGTCTCGTGTTGGTAAGTATTCAACAGTGACAAGGAGAGGTGGTACGCACGTTGCCTTTGGCGTGGGAATCATGCCCGTGGCGCCTATCATGGCGGGTTGGACCTGGATGCCGTGAGTTTCGACGCAGGCGGCATGTGGGAGTCGACGAGGAAAACTCACAATATTAACCGTGACGCCTTCGGGGGCCAGAATCGTCGCCAGATTCAACCCCATTGACCTGCGGGGACAAGACACTCAGCACCACAAGGCTCCAAGATACCAGTCACGGGACACTCGCTGCACTCACGTCATGGCGCCTTTGCTCGCTGCGTAATGACACCCGTTGATGCCCCCTCCCCTGCTCGCGATGCTGCCCACCAGAATCACCCGCCCCCAGCCTTGCCCCCTCATGCCCGGCAGGCACGCCTTGGTGACGACAAACTGGCTCCGCGCATTAATCTCCAAGGTGAGGTCCCAGTCGTCTTCCTCAATGTCCTTGATGTCTCTGATGCGGCGGCCTGTGCCGGCATTAGCGACCAGGATGGAGATGGCCTTGTGTCTGACGCTGATGGCAGGGTTGGAGAGCACGTCGGGGACCAGCAGGCGGGTGGCTTCGCGAGAGGAGAGGTCTGCGCGGGCCGTGCTAAAGAGTTGTTTCGGATGAAGCCGTTGGAGTTCGTTAACGAGGGTGTCTGCCTTTTCCTGGGCTCATTTTAGTTTTGTCTTTTCCTCTCGTTATCTTGGTGTCGTGGTCCGGGAGGCTGAGGTGGGCTGTACTTGGCTGGATGAGTAGTGAAGGACAACATCGCATCCTTCCGCGGCGAGGGCTTTGGCACACGCCGAGCCGATGCCTCCGCTGTTGGTATTGCGTGGCAAGTTAGTATCCGGATGCTTTTGTTCGGGTGCATGTACGGGCAGGAAGGAGATGGCTAACGTTGCGCCGGTGACCAATGCCAGGCGGCCGTGGACGACGTTGTCCACGGGCTGGAGAGAGTGTGTTGTCATTGTCGAGGCTAGCTGTGGCTGTAGAAGCACGTTTGTATTTCGAATCAGCTTTGATGCGACTGAGAATTCAAGATTTAATGAACCTGCGAATACGATGTTGGAATGAAGCTCGCTCGTAACCATGGCCTAGTGTAAACCCCACTGCGGACTACAGACGAGTGAGGGGTCAATTGGAGGGGCTTCGGCATTTAGAAGACAGGCAGCTACTCTTCAAATCGCATACGTCTCTTTGAAATCAGTGTAGTCATTTCCGTGCTGTATAGAATAAAATAGGTTTGAGTGCAGGTTGCCAAGCGTTCTGCTGCCAAGCTCATGGATGCACAGCGTCGTCTAGATAATATCGTTAGGAAATATAAAGGCGCAGTGAGTAATTCTGACCCGATACCACCAATGTCTACTAAAAGCTTGGTCTATGAATCCAAAAAGTCGAAGAAAAGAACCCAGATTCGCTCAACGCCGCCAAATGATGTTTTACAACCCTACCAAATGGACTTTCTATGTTCGTCTTGTAATCATCCTCAATCACCCCAGTAACAAAAGACCCGATGACAATACGACTGCCAAAAACATCAGATTGGGTATAAATGCTGCCGCTCCATTGACGGGGGTTCGCGCCTCGCCTGGATAATTGCATGACACAGTCGAGTTGTCGTTGTCTCGTTTTCCGTAGCTCACGTTGAAAGCGTACATGCCCTCTTGTGGACACTTGAAGCCAATCTTTGACGGGCAGCTCTGAACCACTTGGTAGCAAATGTCTTCGCAGGGCATGATTTCCCTGTACGGTCCGGGTTGAATATCTGTGTCAATGAATGCATTTCGTGACGCATTCTGAGATGGCACCAGTGCTAAATTCGTTTGGACATCAGTAGGTAGCATTGTGCCGTTGGGAAACGGCTGGCCGACGTTGCGGATAACACTGAATCGCGACTCGCCCTGGAAGTCTTCGCATCGAGGGATGCTGACGGTGCAGAGCCATCTTTTGTACGCATTTTTGCAATCATCGCACGTTCTAGCCAGCGAGTATCTTGAGGTCCGATCCGTCTCGCATTGTACTTGCATCATGACTTTGAGAAAGTTGTCGTACATGCTCTTGGCATAGTTATCATAAGCCTTTGCCAGCTCCGTGTTGTTGTATTTCCCGTCATTTCCAGGCACCGCATATTGAATTTCGTCACAGAATTCCAAGTCCGTCACCACTTTGCAATTCGGTGCTGCAAGATTGTTAGCAATGTGTTGCTTTTGGGGATTCCACACAAAAATCACGACATGGACGGGAAAGACGAGCCAGAGGCGACAAGTTTTTCAACTTACCAGCGTTGGTCTGAAATGATGTTGCCTGGAAAACAATGCTGCCCGGGTTCGTTGGAACATCACTACCGCCCACCTGTCGCTTTGAATTTACAGTGACATTAGCAGGCTTTACCAATACGCCGCTGTAAGCCGACGTCGCGTTGAGTCCCACAACATAGAACTGCTGCTTTGGTAGCCCTCCTGGTCCTCGAAGCGTCATAGCCGTCTTGACCATGGCATTATTCTTCGCGTTGCCCTGGTTATTAGCCCCAATGAGAGCGTTCTTCTGGAAACCGCACGCTGAACGGCGCATCCCATCCAACGACGTTGTATCTTTGCCACTGACGTATAGCTGATAGGGCGGATCCTCGCTCATTACGTGTCGAAGGTTGCTGACGTCGTCGGTAAGATTTCGCGTCACAAGCAGGGCCGAGGTTGAGTCACTATCCATCCAGAGAAGCTCTGCACCGCCACTTGCTTTATATCGGTGAAAATACGTGGTATTCGAAGCCGCTATTTCAAAGTTGTAAGTCCCCTCGAAATCATCGGACAGCTTGGGGGCGTAGACTGCGACATAGACATCATTGGTCGAGTTGACGCTAAATGTGACGGCGCCTTCCGTAAAAACTTTGGAGGTGAATCCTTTGGCTTCGACGCCATTGCCCGCGCTTGTAATCTGGGGGCATCCTGCGTCGGTATTGTTTGATACGAACAAGGTCAACTGGCCGGGGGACATGGCCTTCTTGCCCGCCTTGGTCGTCGGTTGCAAACATGTGTTTGCCGATATATAGATTTTACGGGGGTCTCGGCCAGCCCCTAATGAACCCTTCTTGACAAGGTAGCATACCGGTTGGGAGCCCGGACCGACATTCAATCCCAAGGGCCTGTTGTTCTCGAGTGGCGTAACATCTTGGGCTCGTCCGAGTATGCTGCGGGTGAAAAAGCTAAATATTGGTTCGTACGATGAGGTCTGTAATTCGGTTCTGTCGGTATCGGGAATGGTCAGATCCATCCACAAGGATGAGTCGCGAGGTAGCTCAGCGGCGAGAGCTCCCTTGGGCGACGAGAGCAACAAATACAATGCCACCACACAAATGGTAGCGGTCAGCGACGCGACAAGCCGCGATTGTAAAGGGCTCAGCTGCATATTGGCTACAAGCCCACCTGGGGCGAGTCGCCGTGCGACAGTCTGCCGCTTGTCGGAGCGAACTTGTCGTAAGGGTTCAATGATGTTGGTCGTAAGCCGTTGGGATATTCTACGGCGGAAAGCGCTGACAGCTGAAGTAATGAATGCATGGGACTACAGTCGGCAGTGCACCCAATGTCAGCGGTGCTCATTCATAACTGAATTGCCATCTAGTGCGAGGAACTTGGGTGGTCGGGTCGGATTGACAACGAGAGAAAGGATGAGAAGAGACGGAAAGCAGAGAGGGCAGTAAGCGAATGCGCTGGTCGTAGATGAGGTTGAAGCGGTTTCACAAGGGCCGCATCAGCACGACCCACTTGCCGCTGCACGCTGGAGGAGGCATCAACCTGGAGTCGGGTGTTGGTCAGCTTCTAAAGTTGGCAATACTGGAGGCCTAATGCACCATGTCTATTGGGGTTGATAAGCGAGCTGGCGTCTACGTGGCGTATTGTCGTAGCTTCCAGGGAGTGCCGGGTCGCCTACAGTCTGGTGGGAGGTGGCTGATACACCAGTGCTGCACATGTCAGCACTGCTGGAGTCGATTCAATGGCGCCTGGGACCTAGGGAAGCGCTGGGCAGTGACCCCTGTGGCGGGCTACTGGACCTCTCACTAAATTTCCAATGCAATGAATTGATACCAGACCTGTTGCACACAACGTCAGGGCTAGCAGGGGCCCGGTGGCGCTGACGCTCAGCAAGCCACGCCGTCTAGTATGTACATGTACATACTTAGGTCCAGTGCTGCCACTTGACCTGTGGCCATTGGCTGGCCCAGATTACCGCCCGACGGCAGTTCAATGTTAACTGCTGCGCTCAAGCAACCGCCAACCCGATCGATCAGGGGTTACTGTTACACAGCACGAAGGCCATGTTCTATGATTCTTAGTTGCGACGTCACGTGTGTCAACCCCCATCGCCGCCAGATCACCAGGGCAGCAGTGATTGAAAATGGGAAATCATCGCTGGTGGAAGACAACCGGCGTAATGAAGAGCCAGCTGTCTAGATGTCAATCCACGGACAAGGCGGTTGCAAATACATACATAAAGTTGGCTGGAATTCCTGTACGTACTAGTACCAGCTGCTGTTGGTCAACGCAACTCTGGAACCTATTAAGTAATCACAGGCTAAGCTCCTTGCATTTGCATCTGCCTCCCTCATGTCTCTTCCCGAGGTAAGCCATGCGCACAGGCACACCAGCCCGGCAGGGTAAATAATTGAAACAACTCTTCAAGGCAGCTCAATCCACCACGAAATCATAAACCCTAATCCCATATAGCAATAACAGAAACAAGTGATACATGCGCCATTCATTCAAATCCATTCGTAGAATTTCCAACGAAATCTATCATTGCCCTAGCAAGTCCCCGCCCCCACAGCTATTCGTCATCAGGCAGGTCTTATCATCATGATAGCTCAGCTGCAGTCGAAGGCGCGAGCCTTACCAGACATCACCACCAGTCCATTTTAGCGCGCGCGAGCGTGTGTTTTTGTCCGTTCATCGTGCTCTACATTCATCATCTTGTCGCTTATCATGCGTCATCGCCTTCAGTGAATCACCAGCACTGCCCCAAAACAGTGCGCAGGTACAAAACTCCCGTCTACGCACGTAAATGGGAGGCGTCACTGATAGACCGCACAGCGCGTAGTTGTCCCGAGACTTAGTCGGACTTGTCAAGACCACCAGTCTTGGAGCGAAGACCAGCAGAGGTTGAGCCGGGCTGCTGGAAGTATCGGCCGAGAGTGGGGACCATGAAAGATCGGAAGATGATCTCGGCACCACTGGGAAATAGTAGTTGGCATTTGAAATGTTTCTCCTTTTCCCCGGGTGTTTGACTTACCGGAACATGGGCAGAGAAAGCCACAGGAGGAAAACAAACTTGAAAACAAAGTAGAAAGGGAACCAGTAGACAATGTTGAAGAAGCTCTCGATAATAGTGAAGCATGAGAAGACAACCCAGTACTATAAAGGCAAGCAATGACAGTTAGCTTTTTGATTCTCACGAGGGACAACGCCAATTCAAGGGCAGGAGGCAAGCGTACAGTCAACCACTGGGTGTCATCGTCCTTGGTGGTAGTGAAAAGAGCTTGGAGAGAGTAGTAGCCCGGGATGATGAAGCCAGCGAAGTTGGTGAGGAGCTGGCCACCGAGATTGAAGATGATGAGGAAGAAGTAGAGAGCGGCGACTCCAATGACGACATACGCCTTCGGGACACCAGCCTGCTTCTCGAGGTTGTTCAGCGCAGGGTACTTGGAGAGCTACAGAGTTTAGGCGACAGCGGGCGCTTCAGGTTAGCACATCTCGAACAATGTAAGGCAAGTCATGGTGGTTTCGGTTGGGCGCGTGCTCAGCGGTAAACGAACCTCCTTGTCCAAGCTGCTGAGGTAATTCTGAGCCTTTTCCTGGGCAGACATTTTGAAGCTATTGTTTCTGTCGGGTGTTCGGATCTGATGGCGCGAGTGCAGTAGCTGCGATTGTATCGCTGAAGGGAGAGCAAGAGGTTGAGTTGGGGTCGAAATTGAGTGAAGTGTGAAGGGTGGAAGATGAGAGAGGTGTCTTGTTCCAGGTCGAAGCCGCTACTAAAGTATGCGAAAATGTGGACGAGTTCTGTATGTGGGGAGGAGGACATCGGGAAGCGAGTATGACGACTGGTGTACAGCTAAGCACACCCAACTCCCAACAGCTGCTAGTCCAGCGCATGTGCACCTGCCCCCGGTGCCAGGTACATGCATGTAGCAACTGTCCAGTTATCACCAGGGGAACTGCTTACTTAATGTACCTACAGAGTACCCAAGATAGGGTTTCCATGCCAAAGGCCTACAATACACGACAGAGAGCTACACCAAAGCTCAGCTTGGCTCCCTGTGAAGAGAACGGGCAGCAATTTGAGAGACCCGTCGACCCGAGGAGCGCCGTCGTCGGTGGCTTGTGCCCTATGCTTGGGCAAGCTTTTGGGAGGGCAGTGCCCAATTTTTTGGTCGGGCCACACGGCATGTGGAGCTGTTATCAAATGATGGAGCGAACATTGAACATTGAAGTGCTCAGTCACAGCCGGATGGCATGGCCAGTGGCGGGCGCTGGCGGGCGCTGGCGGGCCGGACATGGCACTGACTGCTTTGACCAGTTCATGTACTTAAGTACTTACTTTAGACAGTTCGAGGTGCGTTCAGTCAACTGCAAAAGCAACATGAATGATTCGTCGCCTTTGTCAAGAAGGCCACACCATTCCGGACTCATGCGCAGCCCTGGTTCGCACCAGATATTCACGTTCCAATGCTCGTAGCTTGGCAGCTTGATTCACCAACACTGATGAACTAGTAGAGGACAATTGGCAGAAGTCTAGAAATATCGCAGAGACGTGCATCGGAACAAATGAAAACAGGAGAGGCAAAGGCAACGTTTCTCACCTCTCCGTCCTGGGCATTGAAACTCAAGCTGCCAGCTCCTGCCAATCCCTTGCTTCTCTCCTCCTTATTATATACTACACCTAGGTCATACGGAATGCCGTCCACCCGCCGCCCATGAGTGGTACTGCGCCTACCATCATCAGTTGATACATACCTTCAAAACGCTATATTGCCTGGTGCCTGGGTAACCCAGGTCTCAGTCATTCTTGGTCAGAGAAATACCAACTATGGACGGCCTAGCTCATGTACCACGAGTTGGCTCTGATGAAGCAGTGTGTGCACAGAGAGCTGCAAATCTAATCCCTCGCGAGTACCCCTTGACATCTGCCAATTTCGAAAGTTCTCTGTGCCCATGCATATCTTGAACATGTCAAGTGCATCTCTAGGTATGCGGGTAGAGACAGGTTCGGTCGATCCTGGTCTAACTTGGACGGACGGTTCCGGTCGTCAATCTACCTTGGGCATGTCTCCAAAGAGTACAAACAAGAAGACGAAGATGGCTGTTAGTCATGTACGCAGTACCCCCGTACGGACTACTCCGCAACATACCTCAACTTCCTCGTCAACCCCTTGGCAAGTCACATAGATGAAGCGTCAAAGAGCTCGAGCAAGGCCGGGGCTCTCAGGTGATTGAGGCCCATTAGTCGCCATCGTACGAGCATCAGTAGCCTTTTGAGTTCTTCATCTTGCTCGCTCACTTGCTCACTCATCCATTCACACAGTCACTCCTCCACTCATTCCAAGCCCCCGTGCACGCATGGTATGGGCCGCTTGGAAACCATGGTAGATCCTTCATGTCGTGCTGTCTTACCTGCAAGGTACGGTGCATCGGTGTCTTAAGCCCATGACGACAGGTTCCTAGTGATGGAGCTTGACAGAGCTCATCGCCCAGCTCCCCTAAGCTCTAGACGTCAAGTTTTCGGGCTCCAGCTCCGTAGGCCGGTGGAACACTGAAAGACGGAAGCTAGAGGCCACATGGGTCGCCCAAATGCCCCGAGACAGTGAGCAAACAGTGTGTCAAACGCGGCCTTGGCGGCTGGATCTGAGTCAAGTGGTCGAGGCAATGCAGTTGATGACCATGGTGCTGTTAGTTGATGCTGGAATCTCAGTAATTAGTTTGCGAGCTTGCTTACCTAAACCTGCGGCCCAGGTTTGTTTTGGTGCGGCTGGTGCGCCCCACCCCAGTTACAGCTCAGTCTATGGTTGGCCTGTGGCATGCGTCCTTTTGTTTGGATAAGCGGGACGCTCCTGCCCTCTTGCCATGCCCGCCCCCCATCTGCCCTCCTACGCTTGCCCGCCGCCCGCTTTTTTTTGTTTTCCCATGCTTTTTTCCCTCCTCCTTCCGTTGGCCTCGCAACAGAAAACAACACCAACAAACAGCTGCAAGTCTGCATCAGCGGCGAACCACGAGGCGCGCGCATTCAGATAACCAGTGTCATTGCATCTCTGCGCCCGACTGTTGCGACATTGCGCCTGTTCTTTTCTTGCTCTTGCTCCTCTTCTTTTTGGACTTTTTGGACGTCCACTTGTTGCCGTCAACCGCAACTCTGCCGGACCACTCATTTATTCTTCGACCCAACAGCCAATGTTTGTTGTTCGGTAACCCACCTCACAACACTGTTGCATAACACACCACACCACACACCATGGAGCAAGGTATGTCTTCTGCCACGGGCTGCACCTTGTTTTAAAATAAGACCCAAATAAAGAAAATAATGCCGATTGCTCTTGGACGTGCGTAGCGGGAACTTGCTTCTAACTTCTTCTCTTTTCTGTTCCACGTTACTAGACAACAACCCACCGGCGCGCACTGCCGTCAAATCGAGGAAGCGTCCACAGTCCCGCGCCTCGACCACGTCTGTTCACAGCGCCGCAACACAACCTACCATGGACCAGTCGGCCTTCGCGGACTCATCAGCCATGTACGCTGGTCAATGGATTCCAAATGACCATGGTCATGGAAAGGACATGGGCCCCGGCCCGCAAATGTCGCCAGAAGATATGATCCTCCAAGCTGCCACCCATATGCAGACGGCAAACCACGAATTCTCGATGGACGGGTCCATGGGAGCCGGCATGGCTCATCCTCATCATCACCACATCCCTTATCAGCAGCAACAGCATACCATGACAAGACACCCTCTTCCCGCCGAGCAGTACGTTGCCGTCAACGCAAGCTTCACCGAAGGAGACAGCCAGATGCTCGACCGTGATGACAACGAGGATGGCGATTCCATGTCCGGACCTGCCGGAGCCGCGAAGCCTGCTGCCACTCGATCCAGCGCCAATAACGAACTCGAAATGAGGCAACTTTTCACTGCAAACCGCCATCGTAAGCTTCAAGACGTCGCTGGCGAGCTTCATGGCAATGAGCGAGGGCCCAATTCCGAGCGAACCCGTCAGGTTTTTGCCATGTTATGGTACGCATATAAATATGAACAAGGGGGCTAGCACATGATGTATGTGACTAATACTTGCGAAACAGGATCAATACCGTCTGTTCCAAAGGGAAAGGCTCGGTACCCCGTGGCCGTGTATACGCGAATTATGCGTCACGGTGTGCCACGGAGAGAATCACGGTCCTGAACCCTGCTAGCTTCGGAAAGCTGGTCCGCGTTCTCTTCCCTGGTCTCAAGACCCGTCGCCTTGGTGTTCGCGGAGAATCCAAATATCATTATGTCAACTTTGCTCTGGTGGATGACCAACCAGACTTGAGGGAGTCGCAACCACCTGCCCCCAGACCACTTCCCGAAGCCAAGAGTCTCTCCCAAAGTTTCAAGTACGTGACGCAATGCCCCTCAATTTTTGCCCTCCCCGGAAATGAATCTAATGTTGGTAACTTAGCACGTCCGTCCAGGGCAATAGCAATACTGCAAGTCGTGGTTCCTTGCCCTCGCCGCAAGAGGCTAGCCAAAGCCAGAAAAGTCCTGATCAAGCTAAATCCTCCAGCCGGTCTCATAGTCTGTACAACCAGCCTGACTTGGCCAGCATCGATAATATCCGAAATACCTCAACCAAGACGGAACTTGAGCTCTCATTCCTGCCTGCCGATAGTGGTCCAGTAGACCAGCATGACATTCTTGCTCTTCCAGCCATTGAACTATATCTTCCTCAGGGGACAGACCCCGATGCTGCCAAGTCGTTGTCTGCACTGTATCGTTCACATTGCACATCACTGGTAGAATGCATCCGGTACTGCAGAGAGAAGACATTCTTCCACCTATACACATCTTTCCAGGGCACTCTGACTATGCCAGTCCAAAAATTGTTTGGGCATGCCGCCATAGCACCATGGATCGAGGGATGTGATTACGTTTTATATCAACGCATGATGAGCATCATTTCCGGGCTTACCCTTCAAGTGGTACCCAAACCAGTTCTTGATACCCTCCGCAACATTTCAGAGAGACTGGTGCCACATATTCGCGAGTCATTTCAGGGACAGCCCCAGCATGTTCTATCTGCCAAGGAGTCACCCGCAGCCCTCTTTTCTGGCCTGATAGACCGAGCTCTGCGAGTCAACTTGACGGCACACGCAGCAGCCAACATGCTGTCGAATCCTGCCAACAGGGACCAAATGTATGTCGACTGGATTACCATGATTCGCGCTAGGAAGGTTGCCGAGTGTGTGCCAACGCGTGGCATGGACGACGTGGTAGACATTCTAGTGACAGAGATGAGGGACCTTCTTGATCCGGTCAATGTTCCGTGGGAGGTCGAATGTCTGACAATATACGGGGATGTGGTCACCCGAAGCGGCAGACAAACCGATGATGGCAGTGGGGCAAACTCGACGGGCCAGAATGTTCTGGAGAGATGGGTCAATTTCCTGCAGAATCTGCCAAACAAATTCGCATATGCTTCGCACACAGATATTCTGTGGTGTGTTGAGCGGGTTGGTACCTCGGTCATGCGTGATCTCACGCTCGCCCAAGGAAAGAGTTTTGGCTCTTGGTGGGTGACGAAAACCTGGGTTGACGAGATGGTCTGCTTCTTGGCAGAGCAAG